TTTAAAATCTTATTTATTAAGCTAAAACAAAAACCTAAAAAATTTGTAAGTTGTAAATTACTTCCTTTATTACTATTTCAACTTTAGTATTTTTGTTTGTTGGTATCTTAAATATATTATACCTATCTAGTTTTCTCCGTGTATATGGGACGTTTATCGAGGGCATGGGAAGTCATTTCATTTGGAGTAGTCGTGTTTTTTAGCAGGCTTGCTGGAGAGAAGGATGGCAGGATATTTATTCTGTGGCCAGGACAATATGTGAGCATAAGGCACTTGTCCACGCCATTTAAATAGTTTCAAACCTGGAGTCATTAGCAGCAACAATTTCCAGCTTCAAATTTTATCTGTTACTGGAACAATAGAAATATTTGTCAAGGTTTAATGGATTATATAAACACCAAGTCAGTTTAAAGGGTCTCAAATGATTCCTGTATATAATTTATGGGTGATTCTAATAATCATTGAAAACGTATTTTATTTAACTGTGCCATTTTTTACAGTTAGTTAGTTAGAAAAAACTACATAACAAATGACATTGCATTTTAACTAAAACAACCACAACAAACAATTGTAATAACAAAATTAAACGTACGTCTTTAGTAGTTAGGCTTAAAAGTAAAAACGTTATTTCTGTACATAAAAATTGTATTTTGCTATTGTTATGGCAATCTAAAAAATGAAAAGAAACCTGAAATTATTGTGTATAGGTATCAACATTAAATTTTCTTTTCCACCACCCCAGCATTTTAACCATATTTTTAAAACGAACCAACTTGAATCGCAAAATAAAGATTTTAATATGCGCAAAATTGAGACATAAATTAAAGTCACATAATTCTCATTAAAAGGCCGTAAACGAAAAACCGCCAGCGAAATGAACAGAACAAAGGGAAGGCGAATGGTCGGCCAGTAATAAAGCTATATGCACCTTAATGTTCCTATATAAAGACCTCCGTTGGGATCCCGAAGACATTTGGCACCCAGATCAAAGAGCAACGACATTTTGCCCATAATTTAATAGTTTCGAAATACAGAAATTAAAATCTTAGGCAAATCAAAATAAACTAGGCGTAACGGCCACTGAATCCAACGCACACAGATGCTAATTGGCATGGGTCTTATTGGAAGAGCGAGTGAGAGGGGGCGAGGTTAGAGGGAGATAGCCGCCACCCAGGGCGTTAAGTGGGCGGCGTTTCCTTCGCAGTAAAAAAGGGGGAAAAAAGGGGGCAGCCTCTGGTTTTTGGCCTGCGCGCGCAATTTAAGTTGAAATTTATGCGCAGTCCAACGGAAGGCACATTAAAAATGGAAAGCAAACGCTCGGCTCAATGTGTTAAACGGCACATGTGATTTAAAACTGTATTTATTATGGCTTTAATGTTTTTATTATTTCGGATTTTCGACTCATGTTTTCCACGACTCCGGCCATTTGTCTTCGGTGAGGCGTGGAATTTTTTTGACATATAGGAATTTGTTAATTTCGATATTTGCCTTTGTGGCGGCGTTATTAATGATTATAAATATATTCAGCGGCAAAAACAAAATCATAAACTACACAATACGGCCATCCGCACACAGATGTTCGGCTGTTTGTGCGATTGTGTGCGCCACAATACATGTGCATAAAATATTAAGCAACGCTCACACGAGCTTAGATTGCATAATGCATATTTTATGAATGTTTTCGTGCTTTCCCCCTCGCTGCCACCACTTTTTTCTTTCTGTGCCAAGTCAGGTCGCACAAAAAAGTGTTGAAAATAAAGAATCAAGTGCGCTGCAAAAGGGAGGGAAACACATTTTAAAGCCACTGCGGCAACAAAGGGAGATGCAGAACAAACAGCCAGCACATGCCACAAAATGTTGCCCTGCAACTGCCACATCTACTGCAAAAATCGAAGAGGTTTAGAGTATAAAGAGCTAAGGGCCCTATCGTATATATCATATGTTTATTTACACTCAGAAGTTCATTATTATTTTGTTTATTAAGTAATGAAATCGTCATAAAAATCAAAAGGAACTTACAATTTTTGCTCTGTAATACAAAAAGGTAAAAAAAAGTAGTAAGTAATGTTTTCCTTTCGGAACTTACTATGCTTACTACACTTACAAATAACCTTCATATTTCTCAAAACATAAAGAGTTCAATCCACTGTGCATTGCTGCCATTGTTGCCGGTTGGCCAGTCCTCGGATTTTCAGTTGGCCATGTTTGACTTGCTGGCTACTGGCTGAGTGCACAAACACTCATGTGTGCGAGCTGATGTCAATCCATCATTTGCCTTAACACCATGATTTGTTTATTTGACGAGCTGTATTAAGAGAAATGAAACACAATTGCCATTCGTGCTCCGCTGCTGATTGCCATAAATAAATAATTTTCAAATCAGACACTGGCCAAATCTCCGAAATGGATGCGAGTGCTGGAAGAGGAGTACATGCTTGATTAGGCTCTCAATTGTGTGGATAGTTTTGATATGTTGTAATCAAGAAGTAAGAGAAGGAAGATCCTTCTGTTTTCAACTGAAATGAAAGCTAAATAAATCGTATGTTTAAGTGGAAACTCTTGTCAGTCGACACACCTGAGCTTCTTCCGTTTGACTATGCTATTAAAATTCATTGCCCCGTTTTTTAGGCTAATAAAATCGGATGCACCGCCACAACCACTTCCTCTCTAATAAGCTCATAAAGTAACAGCCACTTAAAACTTGTTGTTGCCAGCAGCGACATCAATAAACAGACTCAAAAGAGCTGCCAAATAAGCCGTGAACGAGTTCCGCCTCCGTCGATGCCACATAAACGTCAGTGCCACATCATCATCGTCATCCCGAACGGAGTAGCGACCCCTGTCTGTTTATAGAAATTAAATGGCTTCAGACAAAATATGAAACATAAACTCAAGTCAACACTTCGATATTGAACGGCGACACAATGGCCTGCGAGCCCCTTTTTCAGGAGGCCCCAAACCCCCAATGCGCCACATTTGTGGCCGCTTCCTCTGGCTTTTTAACACTTTCGCCCGACACGGCATCCCAGCCATGTTGGCATATTTTTAGTGAGATTTTAAAAATTTAAATTGTCGTAATCGTAAATTAATTTCATGGCACATAAAAATGCAGCATGCCGTGCCGAAAGCACAAACATCAGATACAATGTTTTTCGGGGCTTTGTTTGTTTTTCTGTTGCCGAACCGCCCGAATGATGCTTTGTTTTATAACGCAATATATTCAGAATAGGTCTTCAGCTTTTATTGTGTTTTCAGTGTGCTCAGTTGGTTTTGATCGACAATTTTGAAACACTTCTCCAAGCATATGAATAAGATAATAAAACCAATGCCAGAACAAAGTTGGCTGGCCAATTTCTCGGACCAGGAAAATTACTGAAAGTTTGTGTAATGCAAAATTTAGAGGCGGCATTAAAAAGTCATAAAAGCATTATATTCAACAGTATATTAATTAGATGTGTAAATTATTTGTGCCGCCGACAGTCGAGTGCACACGAGTCGCCTGCAAGCGGTATTTGTGTCAACGCCTCGTAATAATTGCCAAGCCAGACGGACAAAAAACGGCGAAAATGTGTTGCAAATGAATAAAGTTTTAAAAATACACATCAAGTGCAATTAGAGGAACAACCAGCGGCAGGAAATGCCATTCGGTAATTGTTTCCTCGACGTCGAAGGTGTGAAGATCGCTCTATTGAGGCCTCTAATTGTGATTTTTCATCTATTCGACAAACCGCACTAAATAATGGCCCTCACGCAGTACGAGTATATAAGATGAATTAATGCAGTAAATGCATCTTGTAAATCTGTCACGCGTCTCAGTAATGTGCAGTTTAGCCCGGAGGCAGCTCCCAGAATCCGAAAACGATACTCCCCCGAACCACTTTGTCACTCGAGATACTCGTTCCTTCGACTGCAACAGATGCTGGGAGAAACAGAAGTCGGGGGAGTGTGAAATTGTGTGCTCTGCGGCGGCTGAAGGCGGTCCGCGGCTAATCTATGACAGAAAACATGTAATCGGAGCGAGTGGCCCAAAATAACTCGTTGTCGGGGACCTTTGGCTTCATTTGCAGCTCTTTACTCCGCAATATTCCCAAAGGCACCAAAGTTCCTCGGTCCTAAAGTTCCTTTGGGTGGCGATCCAGCGGCCAATTAAAATCCCAATCAGGGTTTTACAGTCATACGTCGTGTGTCGAATTTAGTTGTTCAAATTAAATATGGTACACACAAAACAAATAAAGGCAAATTAGAATTATTTATATTTTTATGTTAAGAATTAGAATTATTTATAGTTTATGTACAACTTCATTTTGAAGAAAAATAGTACCAAGTAACTAGCATGTCGTAAAAGTGTTGCCTACTTAATGGAGTAATTTTCCACATAATGGTTATATTATATTATAGAGCACTTCTCAAAGCTCAGATTTTTTAACAATGAATACAGCTATTATATATATTTTCTTCTTCTCTATTCTTGTTTCTTATATAAACTGTATTTTAAAAAATCTGTCTGCTCACTTCACTTCCAAAATTAGAAGTTATAGTTTAATACTTCAATATCTGTAGGTCTTTATTCTTTGAATATTTTTAACTAAATACATTTTTTCCAGTACATGTTACCATGTGCTGCATCCAATTCCCATCTCTTTCGTCTGGGGGGCGGCACTTTCTTTTTATGAGTGCTCTGCTGCCGGCGAGTAAGTGAAGCGCGAACTAATTGAAATTTGTTGCGCTGACATGTTCTACGCGATCTGGTTGCCGCTGGGCGACGGAGAAGTGGAGGCTGCCCTTGTCGATCGTCTCCAGCTCATTAGGCTCTTCCCGTCGTAGTTATTGTCTAATTTTAATTAATTTATCACAAGCATAAAGTGGCGCAACTTGTGACATCTCCCCCAGCGTTGCCCCCGCAACAAATCACTCACACGCCTCGTTGACCGCCTGGAAAATGACGAGGGGGAGACATAAATTTCCACCCGGGATTCTTGGCATTGCCCGACTATCAAACGGAATTTACGACGACTTCTCGTCTCGTCTTTTATTTTGACATGCCTAACAAACAGGCGAACTCGCAACAGCTCATTTGATTGGATCGTTTGGATGCCGCGGCAGGTACGATCTATTTGTACGTGTATGAATAATACGAAATACAAAACTGGAGAACACACCACGAGGTGGTACGAGCTATATCAATATGTAAACTTCCAGTGGTTCTTCCAGGTCTCCCGCTTGTACACATTCTTGTAGGTCTGCACGGACACCTGGAACTCTGGGCCGAAAAGGGTGTTTGCCACCACATTCTCCACAGCCAAATTTCGGTTGGTTACCGCGTGAACTATGATCAAGGGCTTGTTTACCTGTAAGGGAATAAGATTATAATAAAGCTTACCCAAGAAAATTGTGCCACACATTTTAGTGAACACAATCTTAAGTATTTAAAAAAAATATGTTTGTATATATAGGAACGGATTACCATATAAAAGACTGAAAATTAGGATTATTATGTGTTTCAAATATTTTAAATACAATAATGCAAACGAATTCATCACAAATATTATTGATTTCATTCCACATTTGAGAAAATTGATGCTGGAAACTATGACAAGTTATTAACATATTAATATAAAATTCTAGAAAAAAGCAAATTAAATTTAAAATAAGTGTATACAAAACCGCTATATTTTCAAAAATAGTTGGCTTGAATTGCGATTAAGTATTGACGCTATCAGTGAAAATATAAAGATTTTTCTGGTCTCACACTTACGGGAATGGTTTTGCCCTCGCTTTCGAATCGTAGAGCGGGATCTTCGTGGGCACAAAAGAAGTGAGTGTGCGAAGTGGGCACCATGGCAGCAGGACCGCAGTTCTGAAAGGACAACAGCCCAAAGTTTACAATACCCATTCAAGGAGTAGTAAGAAGCAGACCTTGTGGGAGATCAATGCCAGTGGCAGCGTAACCTCCCCGTTCTTGGTGGTGAAGTAGTGCTTGTCCACGGGAAGCGAGAGGTTCAGCCTCTTGGGTCCGCTATACACAAACATGGGCTCATCGGCGGGTTCCAGAGTCTGGAGGCGGAACTTCTCTCCGTAGGCCAAGTACTGGCCACTCCTGTCCTTCTCGTCCGGACTCACGATCCTGAAGCTATTGCGCAGCGAAGGATGTTGCGATGGTGCCACCGTGAGGTCGCACATCTCGTTTATGGCGGTGCAGTTGCGGTGCAGCCACTCCTGGTTGATCATCACCGAGAGGACCAGGTTCTGGTCCACGACCTGCTCGCGGCACACATTGATCCTCACGGGACGGAGCTGCACCACCACCCCAAAGGCGAGTACATCCTGCGGGGGTCCTAGCACGGTTTCCTGGTAGAAGCGCTCGTAGAGGGCACGAGTCCTGTCCAGCAAAAGGTTGCCACTTTCCCGGAGCTGCTTCATTTCCTTGACACGCATCTGGATTTATTTATATTGATAGTTTTGGTACTATTATTACACTTCATTGGAGAATAAAACTTGATAAAACATTTTAAAATTCGAATGAATTTAAAATGTAATTTTTTTATTTTTCTTGTTGAGCTATAAAGTATGTACATATTTCTAGGGGACTGATGCCCCAATAAAAAGCGAAACAAATTAATTAAGAGCAAGGACAAGACATTAACTAACGAGTTGAACATAATATTTATATTATATATGGTACATATGTCGTTATATGATTTAAAAAATTTCTTGTACCTATACTTATGCAAATCTACAAAAAAAATCTAATCGCTTGCTTGCCTGTAATACAAAAGACAGTATGCATGGATTAAAAATGGATTCAACTACTAATCATAGTTGAGACTAATTGCTCAAAATTTAGTAAGAAGATCATGATGGATCAACTAATAATGATAGTTGAGACTAATCGCTCAGAATTTAGTGATAAGATAATGTCAAATCAACGCTCACCTCCTCTGTCAGGGCAGCTTCCATCCAGTTGCCCACTCTCACCCCGGGACTGTACATTGCTCTGCAAAACAACACTCAAGTAATAGTTTTGATATTGAGTTACAACATTAAGTAACCCTTCTTGTAAACCAGATAGTGTGCAGGCTCTACTCGTCTTTCTATATTTTCTGTATGGTGTGGTGTGGTACTGAAGTGACAGCCTACTAACCACCTACTACTCTGTTTTCCCCGTCAAAGATCAAAGATAGTTTCCTGCTCCGAGAGCCACACACAAAGTCGAACCACCGGCAACTAACCGAGCATAAAATTTGCATGCGGCGCTTTGCGGCGGCTTCATCTTTGATCCTGTCAAAGAGGCGAAAATAAATTGCTCAATTATGAAATATTAACTGCACACGAGGCCGGCAAGGAGCCGAGTCCCAGGCGCGAGTTAATTACTCATTTGTTGATTGTCGACTGTGGTTAATGAAGTATCCAACTAATTACATGTCGAGACAAACCGAGAGTGCGCATGTCATCAGCCGTTCTCCGAGGAATTCCCGCTCATATTGAAAAATGCCGCTGCGGAAATTGAAAATGCCTGGCGGGGGCATCTTCGGACTGATTTTCCGCCAGCTGCCGAGAAGCCAAAGATTTGGAGCTGCTTGGTATCAGTGGCGGTGCCGGCAATTTATTACCTTTCCCTTTGACATCTTGACACGATGTCCCATCCCTCCGGACATCCCATCTCCACCCCGGCGACTCGCATTTCGAGTAGTTTTCGTGGGGCTCTGAAATTACCCGCATTCATCTCTTGACAGAGGAAACTCATCGCACTGGCGTCTAATTAGATTATTTGTCAGTCCCCCTGCCGAATGGCGTTAGTTTCACAAAGCTTTCCTGACAAGTTTGGAATTCTTTCTCAATTGACCCGACACTAGTGATGCGAGGGAGGCAGATATTGTATTAGTTATTCAGTTCCATATTAGTTTTTTTATTAGTATTATTTTAAATATTTCATTAAATCAAATAATTAGGATACAAAACCCATTTTCGTCAATATATGCTGTAACAATGACACAAATACAATGCTAATTCGGAATTGGTGGCTAAATATGATGTTTGTCAATTTCATGTTATTTCGTCATACAATATGATATTATCAGTGAAATCCGTTTATTATCGAAGCTATCCCGCATTAGTAAAGAATTGGACATTATATCAAAAGGGTATTGCATTTTGCAATCCTCATTTTTATCCAAATCATATATGTATTATATTAAGGCAACAGTTAACAAAAAAAATAAAGTAAGATGTTGAAAAGTCAAACTGCACATCTTCACGCACTCTTCTAAAATATGATACTGGGAAAACCAATAAGTTTTTAAGAAACTATTTAAACGACCGCCCATTCCAAACAGCTGCCCGCTACAAAGTATTCAAATGGTTTCCATATTTTGTATTTATAGTTGAATTTTATTTGTATTCCTTTTTATTATGTTTTGTTTTTCTTTTTTTTTTTTTTTTTGTTGCTTAAACAAACAGGAAACAATTAACTTAGCATTATTTTTACAATTAGCTTTAATTAGAAATAATAAAAATATTGAAGCTTTTTGTATTTTTATCTTTTTATGTTTATGTGTTTACAATGTTTATGTGTATTTAGTTTACAATAATTTGTTTAAATCGTACTGTTTATTCAAATAGATGTTCGCGTGTATATACATTAAAGCAGCGAGCAACGGCCACGACCCAAAGCCAAACTATCCTGAATATATATCGCTATATAAGTAGTTGATATTTGGCGTTGTCGCGAAAGCGCTCATATTTCCACTTTATGTTACAAAAATTTAGTTAATTCGACTACTAAACATACATGGTACATAATGTCGCATAATGCTTTTTTCTGCTGCTTTGTTGATTTATTTAATTTACTCGTTTAATGTATAATTCCATTAATTGTTTTTACGTTTTTCCACCTTCGCATGCATCGCTTTTAAGTTTACAATTTTCGTTAGAATTTCTTTTTCTTTCGCATTTTTTATTTACATAAAAACAAAAGGAACTATATCTTTCAGTCTTTTTAGTGTGTGTGTGTGTGTGTGTGTGTATGTGTGTATGTGTAGTATGTATGTAAATGTGTGTATGGGTGTCCGTGTGCACGTGGATTTTGTGTAGAATATCTATTGTTTCGTTATGCATATAGCGTATTACGTAGTTAAATTAAAATAATTGTTTTATTTTTGTTACTTTTTGTTTCGTTTTTGTTTTTTTTTTTGTAATTTTTTTCAGTGTAAATATCGCTTGCTTCCCAGTTTTGTTTATATAATTAGCACTAGTTGTTTTCTTCCTTTTAACTTTATATACTAAAATTAGTTCAAGGTTTCCACCAGCTTTCCACTCATTCCCTCTATCCTTCTTACGATGCCTACAATCTAAGTAATTTGTATAATTCATTTAAATATTTAGTTTCCTTGTTTTCGCTTTGCATCTATAAAATAAAAACAAAAAACGTTGCACATGCGTGTGTTTTTGTTTGTTTCTGCTTTTCTTTGCTTTCATTTAGTCATTAAATATATATGTGTTTGTATAGTTAAATATATAATAATATAAAGAGCGAAGGCAAATATCGAATACTTTTGTTGTAGTTGTTTTTCGTTTAAAAATTCCATTTGTTGCAGTTGTTGTCGATAATGTAAATGTTGTTGCTGTTGCTGTTGCTAAAGTGGTTTATTGCTTATTTCAGATTTTCAAGAGAATGTTGTGTGGCTTTGAAGTAAGTTCTTGAATCGGGATTGGACTTGGGGTTCCGTTTTCCGGTTTTCAGTTTTTTGTGCCAGAAATCGGAGAACTGTCAGGATAGTACACTCAGCAAACATATCACGTTCAGTTCTTAACTATGTGTAAATATATACGGTATATAATTTGTCTATTGTTTCGTCTATGAGCTATTGTTGAATAATTAAATTAAAGAAAAACAAAATCCGTCCGGTTTCTTGTTCATATTTGAGTTAATGGCATATGGCAGATTATTTAGGTCTAGTGAAAAATGTTGTATATGAGTCTATGGAGTTTTTCTTTTCTTTTCTTTTCTTTTCTTTCGTTTAGTTTTGCTTTTATCTATAGTTAGTTAGTTACAATAAAATGCTTTTGCTTCGTATATAGCATGTGTTGTTGTATAAAAAACGACAGCAGATTTTGTATACAATAATTATGATGCATCAGTTACTTAAGCTCTCAGTTTGAAATTACGTTATGGTTTCCTCTTCCTCTTTAATTCTCTCTCCGAAGCTTGGCTTCAACGAAAATTAATTTAGAAAACAAAAAAAAAGAATGAACAAAAGTTGTTTGGTTTGCTACTGCGCTCTGCTTTCGCTCGATGTCGATCCAGCTATAGCTACATGGCTATATATACCTGATCTGATCGGAGCCAAGTATGTAGATGGTACTTTTAGAGCGGAGCAAACTTTTGCCAGTTACCCTATGCGATTCGCTTCATTTACAATTTCTATGTACAGGGGGGCGTGTTGAAAATAAATATTATAATTACGCAATAAAAAGATAAGAAACTACAAGTGACTTATGCACAATCAAGCAACACTTACCACTTGTTTTAAATGTACACTATATGTATGTAGGTGTAGGTGTAAATATATAAATAAAAATCAGGGGGTAAACGTGCTAAAAACTTGCAAGGCATTGCGACATGCATTTGAAATTAGCTGAGTACATTTAAATTTAGTTACGTTTAGGCTGGTATTTGGATAATTATAACTATCGCTAGCTAACTCAGTGAAGACAGTTGTTGTTTTGTTTTTGTATTGCTTGTTTGCTGTTGAATATAGTTTATCTATTTCTGTTTTTGCTTGTGTTCCGTTACGTTACGTTTCGCTACGTTACGTTTCGTTCCGTTCCCTTTCGCTGCTCTTCCTCTTACTCTCGCCTCGCCTTTCCTCCGCGATTTGTTTGGTAGGTACTAAAAATTATCATAATTAATATACGTAGTAGGTATGAGTTATAAGTAATAATTGGTAGAATTTGTATGTCTATTTAAACGGTACTTAGGTTGGTTGGTTGTTGGCTTTTGTACTTTTGTTATTTGCATGTAGGACTTGTTTTGCTTTTGCTTTTGTTTGTTTTTTGTTTTTGTTTTTGTTTTCTCCTGTTTCTCTGCTCTCTCTGCTTTCGCTATCGCTCTCTCTTTCTCTCTGCTTGATGCTTTCCCCACTCTAGTTTTGTATTGCGTTAACGTCTCTAGTTCATTAATATAAACAAACAAAAAAATGTAGAGTAAATACTAAACGAATACGTAAACATAAATAGGCTTAATCGAAACTATTGATATTTTACATGTGCGATTGGGGCAATTCGAGGTTTTGAACAAAGAGTCCTGGTAGCGTTAAGCAATCTTTGGCTGGTTCCTGGCAATCAAGTCAAGGTTTCAATAAATTGTAACTATTTTTTGTATTATTGTTGACTAAAAGTCTCGAAATAATATTTGAAAAAATTGAATTTGAATCTCAGTTTTACTAAATTGGTTTGCAACCAAAAAAGAGTCAAGTATAATTGTTTTCTAAAGGAATTGGGATTAACATGAGTTTTTCCCATTAAAGAAAGGATTTGCAAAATGAATGATAACTTTTCTTTTGAGGCATCTTGGCTACCAGGCAAGGATCGAGTCGCTTTCCGACTCCCCTACTCCTTTGTTCAAAATCTCGGTGCCCCAGCTTGCAGGCAAAGGGAAGAGTCAAAGTCAAGGAAGCTTGGCTTGCGGCAAAAGTTTGCTGCTCCGTATCCTGCGCGCGGTTCCCCCTCGCTCATCCCACAAGCTCATCTATATACAGGTTCCCCCGCCGCCGATCTGCGGCTCTCGAGGATTACGCCTCCCGTCCGATGAATCCATTGGGCGGCGGAGGCCTCGGCGTGCTCGCCGGTCGCAGCCAGCTCTCCTTCAGCAGGTTGGACATGTTGCCCGTCCCCGTGGTTCCAACTCCGGAGTTGGGATTCGTGGGCGACTTCCTCGTCTGGCTGACACTGCGACTGCGCGGCGGCTGCGTCTTGCTGGGCACCGCCTTCTGCCGCGGACGACTCAGCGGCATGCGCTCCATCTTGATGTGCTCCACGTGCTCGTCGTCCACGTCGTCGTCGTCCTCGTCGTCCTCATCCAGTCCGTTGTCGTCGTCGGAGCTGCTGTGGCGTGCGTTCTGCGGCGCCTGCATCTGCTGGTAGTTCGGATTGTGGCTGATGGTCACCCCCGCCATTTGGACAGGCTGAGAGGGATTGTTCATGGCCATGTAGTTGGGGTTCTTGCTGATCTGACTGCCCGGCGGATGCATCATCTCGTAGTTCGGATTGGGACTGCTGGTCGTGAGGATGGTGGCCTGGTCGCTGGCCACCGATTCGTCCAGCAGTCCGTAGTTCGGATTGTCGCTGATGGCCAGCCCCACGCTTCCACCGATGGGCGTGGTCGTGGGCGTATAGAAGCGGGGTGTTCCCGTGTAGCTGCCCGCCGAGCCACTGCCTCCGCTCTCGATGGTTCCCAGGTTGCCCATGGCCACCGGATGACTCGTCAGATTGGAGTTGCTACTGGTGCTTGGAGCATTCGAGGCGGTGCTCTTGTGGCTGGCGTTGCTCCCTGTTCGCTTGTGGTTGAACAGGTGGCGGTTGAACATGTTGGTCCGATTGCGAAGCGTGTCCGCCACCACTCTCTTCAAGCTGGGATAGCGTCCCGTGTGGGAACTGGCATTCGAACTGGCTGCCGAAGCGGTCGAGGGTTGCAGCGAGGATCCGCCGATGACGTCATCGGGCATGGAACTGCTCATGATGACCGGCTGGCGGGTCTTCTTCGGCAGCAAGTGCTGCTCCCCACTGAGCTTCCCTCCGCCGCCAGTGCTTCCGCTCCTGCTCGTCGGCAGCTCCGCTACCTTCGGACTGGGATCGTATAACTCGTACCCCGCTTCGCCGCCCAAGGCCTCCGGATCTGGTTGAACGTAGGCGGACGTATCGTCGCCTTGCATGGCGGGTAGGTTTTGGAATGCGGTCGGCATAACCGTCTGGCCATCGGGAGTACTGCTCGCAATTAGTCCGGATTGCATGCTGAACGGCGAATGGGTGCCCTGGTCGTCCACCAAGGCGATGGGACTCTCGGCCGGCTGATCCAGGGAGGAGTCTCCCATCCGCAGCGGTGTGGTGGCATCCTCCTGCTGCTCCGGCTCCTGCTGGTCCTGGTCCAAGGGAACCGCTGCGAAGGCGTCCAGCTGGCTGCGCTCCTTGCGCTCCTTCTCCCTGTGCTGCTGACCCGCCTCCGAGTGGTAGAAGGACACGTCCTTGAAGTTCGAATCGGGACACTGCTGCTCGAGGTACGAGATGATGTCCAGAAAACTGGGTCTCGCCGAAGGTCGATGCTGCCAGCACCTTTGCATGAGCTTATGCAGCACATCCGGGCAGTTTTCGGGTTTCTCCATCACTCCGCCATCGATGACGAAGCGCAGCACTTGGTCGTTGGACAATCCCTGATATGGCTGCGCCGCCAAGGTGGCCATTTCCCAGAGGACCACTCCGAAACTGAACACATCGCTGGCACTCGAGTAGACGCCGTCCTTCAAGCTCTCCGGCGGCATCCAGCGCACTGGCAGCAGACCCTTGGTGTCCTTGCGATAGTAGTCCGTTTCGTAGACATCGCGGGTCATGCCGAAGTCGCCGATCTTAACGGTCAAATCCTCAGCTACCATGCAATTCCGAGCTGCCAGATCGCGATGCACAAACTTCTTGGCCGCCAGGTAGGCCATTCCATCCGCGATCTCGATGGCCATCTGGTAGATCCTTCCGTAGGTAGGCGGCTGCACGTTTCCTGTCACGCCGATCCGATGGAGGTACGCCATCATGGCCTCGTCCCGCTCCTCGGGGCGATGGGCCCGCAGGTAGGACTTTAGGTCGCCCTTCTTCATCAGCTCCATGACCACCAGAGCGGGCTGACCCCGCGAGCAAACCCCGAGCAGTCGAACCACGTGGTACGTGTCGAACTCCTTCATCACGCTCGCCTCGCTCAGGAAATTGATTCGCTCGCGATCCGTGGCGTTCTCGTTGACCGTCTTGATGGCACACGGCCGATCCACTCCATTGCCGGACAGAGCCTTCAGGATGCCCTCGTACACCATGCCGAAGGATCCCTGGCCAAGCGGCGCCAGTTGGATGATGTTATCCCGCAGCACCTCCCAGTCGTCGGGCACGTACTGCATGCTCGCGTAGAACGGATTGACCTCCGTGTTCATGTGCAGGTCGCGCGAAGGACCTCTCTTGCGCAGGTGACGAACGTAGCCTATGAGGGAGATGATCAACAGGGCACTGCCCGTGCCCGCCAGCCAGATGAAGTACTTTGCGTAGCTCGGCGGAGGCTGTTTGGGAGAGAAAATGTTGTATTTATCAAGAGTTCTTTTACATTATATAGAAGATTATGGAATGAATGGAATCGTTGAACTTAGCTAAACTATTACACCATTCCATTCACATAACAATTTCGAACAACCCACCTCCACTTCAATGAATTTAAGTTCCGTATACTCGCCGAATCCCGCCAATGAGTTCGCTCGCACGCGGAAGCTGTATTTGCCCTCGTTGAGCTTCAGCGGATAACCCATCGTCTGGTTGAAGTCCTCCACCGGGATACACTTCTTTTCCTCGACTTGATCGAGTTTCTGCAGCTTGTAGGCTATTTCGTAGGTGACTATCAAGCCGTTGGGATCGACTGGTGGGAACCATCGCACGCGAACCGAGGACTCCGTGTTGTTGGCGTGTTCCGGAACCACGGTAAGATTCTGTGCCAGATCAGCGAAGTCTACAAGAACACAATACAGTTATATAAGGAAATTCATACAGGGGAAGAGCAGGGACTTACCCTTCCTTTTGGTTGTTGGAAAGACAGGATCGTAGGCGCTGCAGAAGGGACCCTTATCATTGGCAATGGCTTCTCGGCACGCCACCACGAAAATAGTGTAGCGGGTGAAGTGGCGCAGGTTTTGGAACACGAAAGACGTTTGATTCGGTGGCAATTCCTGGGCAAACACCTCATAATATTCTTTGTTGGCAGACCACACGCTTTCGTTCGTGTAGGTTGCCTCTTCTTTATCGGATTCGGAATTATACATGAGTGAACGAACGTGGCGGAGCAGCACACTGCCATTATCGATCTCTGGTTCCAGGACGAGCTCCCTTTTTTGGCGGGCGGACTTCATACCTCCGCCATTTGGAATTGCATTCGAATCGAGGGCTGCGGCCATGGCTTTTATGTCAGCCGAGACGTTTCTGTTCCGGTTCCGTGAGCTCGGCACGAAGATAAAGTTCTGCAACGCGTTTTCAAACTCCATGCCGGCCTGGACCACTCGGTCGTCATAGTTGTGGCTCGTGGTCTTCTTGGGGCTCTCCACGCATTTGCAGTCGTCAACCAAAGGATCCGGCGTTTTCTTCGTGGGAGTCGTGGGCGGCATGTCATAATCCAATGCCTTGACAAGAGCTGCAGGGAAAAGAAATGTAAATCCAGATTCATGGGTAGACCAAGTTCAACAACTCACGTTCGCCGCAGTAATCTCGATTGGGGATACGGGATGGGCGACTAATCAGTTTGGCCTTGACAAAGAAGCGTGCCAGTTTGCCATAAGGTTTGTTTTGGTAGCTCCATGTGAGGTTCTGTAATTTGAAGAATGTGAACAGTCAGTTCATATTTAAAATAATATAATATCAACTAAGTCAAAATAGATTTGATCTCTTCCATCTCAATTTGGATATCCAAGAACATTGCTATTCGATAAACCATACTCACAATTTTCGAATCTGAAATGGCGGTGGCCATTACATCGGTGACCCTTGAAGGTTTTCCCGGATTTGTCCTGAAGTAATGCACCTCGCTCTCCGCATTCGTCGCCTCCGAAGAAATGGCCATTGTGCGGACATAGTAGGCGTACCAAGTGTAGGGAATCAGGTCGGTCACATACAAGGAGCCGCTCTTGTCCGGGGAGCTCACCTTCCAGCGATCGTCGCATGGATCCTCACTGCCCTTGCTGGCGTTCCGATACGGATCCCTCATATGATAGAACACAAAGCCGATGAAGGCACGGGGATCCTTGAAAATGATTGTTGCATTGGTCGGCCCTTGGGGATCTCCTATCTCCACCTTCGACGTGACTTTCAGCTCAGCACTGAAGGAACTCACAGTTCCCAAAGTAACATTGAGAACAGCGGTTCCACCTGTAAATTAAATCATTTGATCAGTTTTTGTAAACTTATCGTTTCAAAAAAGAACTCCAACTGAGATTCATGGGAAGAGGATTATCTGCATTCTCTATTGAGATCACTTACAGGATCCACGGTTTCCGTTTGAGTCGATGGCCACATCGCGCTTGTCGAAGGACGTTGGCTTGGAGGCCAACATCGGCAGCAGCTTGTTGATCGTGGATACGCACAGTTTCGGGTTGAAATGGAAGAAGACGCCGCCATTCCGAATGAACACCGTTTGGTTGGGATTCCAGAGCTCCTCCAGATCGCGATTCTCCAGCACGTACAAAGCAAAATTCTCTGTGTCATTAGATTCGCCTCTAATCTCGGTCAGGGATTGAAAGAACCTTAGTGACTTCAATCCATAGGTCAGGTGAACCATAAGCGACGTTTCAATTGTATGGATAGCACCCAGACCAAACTCCAGTTCCTCCATGACGTGAGCTAAGGAAAGAAATCAAGTATACATTTAAAACAAGATTTAAAACTGATATTTAAATTGCAAAAGCAAATTGCTTTTCCAATCATTGATGTATTTCATCGTAAAGGCATTATCAACTTACCTCCGCTCTCACGTTTAATGCTGATGGTCAGAGCAGTGTTTCCGTATATTGATGTGCAGCCATTTAATTCTCGTGCCCGCTCCAAACTGTCGATGAGACTGGCTTTGCACGGCTTCTCGCACTTTCCGCCCGGACAAGGAACGCAGGTGTGCTCCTGCTCCATGAACCCCGGGGGACACCGCTGGGCACATTGGCCTTCATAGGGAATTCCAGGCAACTCCTTGCCGGCGTCAAACTTTACCAGCCTGATGCACTCATTCCAAGTTACGCAGCGACTATCGTACTGTAGGAAATAAAAGAAATGTCACAGTCTAGTCTTGTATAGTATATTTTAGCGACGAGATCCTACAATATAATAGTCCTTCGGACAGGAATCCACACAAACGTTGTTTAACGAAAAATTTCGACAGCCGATACAGCTCTCCTTGCCGTTTTGATCCCTGACGCAGCCACCCAGACAGTCATTGCTGCAACAGGTGTCCTCATCCAGGCAGTTGTTCCGGCATTTCTCTGGACAAACTGTAGGAAATAGAGGAAACAATATAAAAGGATGTATAAGATATGTCCCTGTGCTCAACTCACATGTTTGGCAGACTTTGCTGTCCCAGCAGAAGCGCTTGTGATCACCGTACTCCCGACAACTGACGTTAGGTTCGCCGCCGACAGCCATGGAGTCGTGGCCCTCTATATACCTCAGCTCCCCCGGACACTTGGACTCCTCGCACTCCTGCGGCTTGGCGTTCTCCAGGAGGACCACCTGCGACTGGGTCGCATTCGATGACATAATGGGCAGCCAGTCGATGGTCCTATCGTAGCACATCTTCCGGTTCCTCTCGATCCGAATACCGCCTCTGGTCACCGCTCGCAGTCTGGGTAGCCCCAAATCGGTGAGGTCCATATTGGAGTACACCACTAGGGCGTATCCGTCAATCAGTTTCACCCCCCTGATGATGCTCAGGTTGGGGAAAACCTTCGACAACGAGTGCAGTCCCGTTACTCGGTAAACCACAACGAATTCCGTGACCTCTGTAAGTTTCGGAAACGATCGGTTCAGGGGACTGGCGTCGTTTATCAAGTTGATCAACAGGAAACCCTCGATGACCGTGCAGTTCTCCAGTTGGCTAAAGCCCGACACCAGGTTTCGAATATCGAGTGACTTACAAGCTGCAAGGGTGAAAAATATTGCAATTAATGTTGACTTGAGTAAGCATCTGGTAATACTGGCAAATAATATAATGATCTTAGGTTGCACGAATATTAACTTTCTTTGATAAAGCTTTTTCTGAGATTTTAAACATTTGTGTACAATTTTGGATCTTTGATACATACGTTGTATATTTTGTGACAGTCGCATGGTTTCGTTTGATTGACTCCTAGGCGGTCGCGAATGCGTTGATACTGAAAGAGCATTCAGATTATCGGCTATATCGTTGTGTGGCAGATGCTGCAATTCTGGTGGCAGCACGATAGATGCGGTGGCATGGATGAATACGATATTGAGGGCAAATATCCAGATAAGACCACTATTCCAGTGATGATAATGACGCTTGTTGTAGTGATAACGATCTTGCTTCTCTGACTGTTGTTTTTTATGTGGCAGCTGTTGATTATGTTTTAGTTGTTGTTGGTTGTAATTGTTAGGGCTTAAACTCAGTCTTGTGGTTGCTGCTGCCATTGTTTCTAACAGCAATAGGAATTTTGTGAAATTTACATTTGATTGCTGCTGGTGTTGCTGCTGCCGCCGACGTCGCTTGTTAAATATGCCACAATTGAACATGAGCAGCAGTAGCGATTGCAACGTTCGCAATATGTTGTGACAATTGCTGAAGATGTTTAATTTTTCGCGCTGCCGTCGATGGTTTTTAGTGTTGCCAACGTTGTTTTCATCGCCGCCGCCAACTCTACTGCACTTCATGCCCCTTTTTTTGCCGGTTGCTTCAACTTTTGCATTTAACCAGCTTTCAAAAGACAACGGAATTGTTGCTTCAACTTTTCCATTTATCCAGCTTTCCCTAATCAACGGAGGCATGTTCATCTTCAAACATTCCTTAGTAAGCGCACTGCTTTCACTGCTTGTTTTACTGTTGCCGCTGCTGTTACCTTCCGCACAGCAGTGGCCTGTAAACGCCTTGACTGCTTTAACTGCTTGCCGACAGCAACATGTATCTTGCAACATCTCTTGTCGACACAAAACACAAATGTTGCCTAGCGTTAACGTTGCCGTGGCTGATAATACCCCATCAGATGATGTTTTTGTTGTCGTATCCATGTCAAAAAGTGATATTCAAGCCAAGAAAACGAAAGTCATTTTAGTGTGACCATAGTAAGCCAAACTCCGTCTTATCAATATTGCGGAAGCGCAGGCTGCTGGCGTCTCTGCCGCAGCGTAAAAAATCAACAAATATAATGCTCAATGTCTGCTTTGTCGTCAGTTGGAATGCTATTTTCTATCTCCACTTTTCCCGCCTTTGCAACTGAAATGAGAAAACAGAACGTGAACTTTTTGGTGTTAGTTTTCAAGTCGGAAAAAAACCATAATAATAAAGAATTAGTAAATCTACGTAATGGTATGCGAAAAGGGCGCCAAGTGCGCGGCACACGTGTCGAAATACCTGCCATATCTCGATTCGCTGTCGCACAAACCGATTTAATTTTAAAGCGTTACGTTCGTCATTTCTCTAAAGACACACATACATATATGCATATGTGTTTACATATGTACATTTGTTCAGACATATGGCTTTAAAAGGGCGTGAATTGGAAAAATTCGTTTACCTAGTTATTTTATTAATTTATATTTACCCCATCCTGAAAAGAAAACCTTTCGATTTCAAATCGCAATGAAACTAGTTTGCAATGATCATATTGATAATAAAATCTCTGAAGAAAAGCTCTAGATTTATTTGCTAACTTAACGCGGTCAAACTTTAAAGGCTCTTTAAGTCCAAGTTATTTTAAATAATTATTTTATTAATGTCATAGTTTTTTTTTTTTTTTTAATAATAAAGGCTCTGCTATTAAATCTTTTGTCTGTTTTGTATTTAAATTGAAGACTTTATAAATGTATGCTAATTTGTACAATAGTTTTGTTGTAACTTTGATAAAGAAATCATTTGCTAGTCTTTTGAAAGTAGAGGGTAAACCTCAAAAACAAATACCCAAAAAAACAGCTGAGAAGCCGGCGTACCACTATAGCTATCTCCCTTTCACTTGCTGACATAAGAGCGCAGCTTGCTAAATAAAAACAGTAAAAACAACAAAATAAATAATTTTATGCGGCAGATAAAGGAATAGAACAAATAAATATATCAAGCTTTTGAAGACCGTTTTTTCACCATTGACGTTTTTTAAGTGTTTTAGTTATTCTTTTTTGAATGACGTGCGACTTCGTTTGACGTTGGCAGCGCAGTAGCGTTGTAAAGCGTAGTAAATAGTAATTGCAATTGTGTGTATGCTTTTACTACGCTGTAATTCATCAAATTTTACGCTTTTTCTAACGGGTGACTTGTGCAATGTTATTTGTATTTACTATTTTCTCTAATTTTGGGGCGTAACTTGGGGCAAGGAAAATGCGGCTGCGTGGCAAAAGGAAAGAAGGAAAAATTTGAGAACGAGAGAGAGGAAAGAGAGGAAGCATATTTGTTGTTGTGGCTTTGCAAAATTTCTGCTGCGTAGTTGAAAACGTAGTAGATGTACAACACAAACACACAAAAATAAATAAAAAAAAAAACCACACACGCATTTTGTTCTTGTTTTGCAAATTTTTCTAGCTTGTCGCCGAAAAAAAAAAAAAAAAAATTAGCAAAAACCCTCTCTGCTTTGGCTCGCTCTCACGCACACATATGCTCTCAACTAATGCTGCTTGTTTATTATGCTTGATTTGTTTTTGTTCTTATTGTTGCTTTTATTGCGCAGTAAAAAATAATTCAAACGGCGAACAAATGTCGCGCTATAAATACATAAAAAAATGTTCAACTAAAATAATTAAAATGGTTATAGCCATACACATAAAATTAGGAGACTTAAGCGAAACAAAAGCAAAAATATATCTATGTATGTATGTACATATGTATGTACATAATACTACACTTGATAAAAAAAACAAGCTATTTTTCCCTCGCTCTCGCAAGACACGGTGGCACTCAAACTGTGGTTCTCAAACTTTCGCACAGTGTTTTTGTCTGTGTGGGTGACCCAGATTTCGTTGACTGTTTTTTTTTTATCGTTTAGTTCAACTTAAGAAGAAGAAAATTCCGGTGAGCAACATTTCCGGACAACACAACGCTGTCAAAAGATCGGGGGCCTGATGATAGGCGATACGGCGACACAGAAAATAATAGACCTCATAAATGTCTTTTTTTGCTATATAAATAGTGGTTATATGTTAAATAAGTTTTAAATTTATTATTCACACTTAGTAATTTAAAAAGTGTTTCTAAAGTCTACCTTTTTACAAGACGTAAAAACTATTGCTACAAATCCTGACATATTAACAACAACAACTACACAATTTGCTGATTTATGATCAAATGTTTCCTTATAAAATATACAAACAAAATTGGGAACTAAAATATAATTTTATTTTTGAAAGAGGTTCCAGTGAAGAGTGGTTAAGAAACCTACAAAAATGCAAAACGCTGTCTACTTAAAAAGCGGTTAGAGCTTGAAATAAAGTTGCTACGCTAAACTGGCAACACGGCGGTTGATGATGACGCGATAAGGGAAAGGGGCAGGCCAAAGCGAAACTCGGCTTATCAGCACTCATTTACACACATGGAAATTAACAGCAAACGGTGCGGACGCTGGCGAGCGTTTTATTGTTTAATTTCGTTTAACGCGCTTCGGGCGCCACCGTGCACGCGCCTCGTAAAAAAGTGTAAGGTGCATTTGGCACGCCTAACTGTCATTTGCGCTCGAAGGGGGACAACAGTTTCCCGATGCGAATGGGTTACTGGGTTTTCAAACACTAAATCTTTTAATGAACTCGAAAAATTAATCCGTTCCGAGTTTCAAGTGGATCTAAGCCAAAATCGTTGACGTGTTTTTCCTCTCTAATAATTAACTTTACTTTGTTAGCTAATTCAAAAACACGATTAGCAACGCAACTTACAATTATGTAAATAATTTTAAACTGTTGTCAGCTGAAGATTTTCTCTGATTTTAGCAACCACTTGAATAAAAATTACAGTTGAGCCCTAGCAAAAGACTTATGTTTAAATAGAGTATGGAATTTAGGTCAAAGTTGACAGTTTATTAAATGAACCAAGTTAAAACAAAGACTTTTCAAGATAATACGCAGTTAATCACGAATATCATATATTTTTATGAGCAGTTTATTACGAGAAACTAGTCCTCGCTGAATAGAAAAACTCATTAAAATCAAGAATTTCAAAGATAATTACAGAATGCAGTGCTACGCACGCGCTGCTTTTCTCAGCCCAACAATCTGACTCACTGGCTGAAAAGGGGGAAAATAACAACAACAACAGCAACAGCAACAAAAACACAGACAGCCAGAAGTAGCAATAACCACAATAATAATCATAACAATAACAACAACATTAATGTCGGCACCGACGCAATAACGGGCAGAAATAAAAAGGCCAGAGAAGACTGGAGAATGAAGAGAGGAGACCGGAGATTTGGACCCGAGAATCGGAGAGACTTCTTAGTCCGAAGCCAAAAGCCAACAACATTCCGATCCGAAACAAAGCTGCCAGACCAGTTAAGAAGCAACGACAACAATCCGAAAGAATAACAAACAAAAACAACAGCCTCCAGAAGACGACGACGACCAATACCAAGATGATGATGAAGAAGAAGAAGAAGACGTCGCTCGTGAAGCTTAAGAAAGAGACCAGAGGCCAAAAACTAGCTTATTGAAATATTTCCTTTGCTCCAAATCCGACGTCTTTTGGTCAAGTCTTTTTTTTTTTTTTTTTTCAAGTTTCCAAAGCAAAGCATTATGATAAGCGGAGATCAGGCCAGACTCACTGGGAGATATGAGCAATCAAAAACCTGATCTGGCCGATCGAAATTCCACCTTAATATCGATGGCCGATCATGATCATCAGTGATCAGGTGCCGCCGCCGATTCCCATTCATAATATCTCAATCTTGCCGGTTTGTCACAGCATCGCGCATCCACTTGTTTCTATTTGCCTGCCCGCTGCTTTCGTGCATATTTAGCTGTATAATTTTGAAAAGCTTTGTTTAAGCGAGCATTTAAATGGTTGAATAAATATTTAATAGATACTTGGGCGATGTGTCTATACGCGGAACTGGGGGATGCACCGAACATTCCACCTGACCCAGACGAATTATTTAATGGAAAGATTTACTCTTTCTGCTCAGGAAAAAAACTACTGTTTGAAGAATATAATATCATATATTACAAATTAACATATAATGTTTAGTTTTTTAGGGAACTCATTAATAATTTCATCATAGTCTTATGGGACCTGTAAGAATTTGTTTTGGTCTAGAGACTTCTTTGACGTAGCTTCTCGGCCCATTGTTGTGATTTGAGCAAACTAAAGCTAGTCGGTTCTGTCGGAACCTGTACCTTGAAATCCCCCTGTTTCCTGCATCACCGTGACTTACAACTAAATACCGGTCACATGTGGCGCCCTCTAATCTTCGGATCTGCCAACTCATGCCCAGAATGTGGATCCACCAATTCGCTGTCCGAACGTTCGACTGTCCGTCCGTTTAAGCACAAGCAAAGGTGACTAAAAACCTTCGAGCACTCTCAAATAGTTATATTCGCCAGTTGTTGTGTTCGTAAAAATATATAGCACTGTGAGTGTGGGCTCGGTTGTTTTGCTTGATACGCCGGTCGGATGGAAGTGCTATTGTCGCGAATATCGGTGTGTGCGAGGTGCGAGTTCCAGATAAGCAACGTGACGCCGTCTCACGCGAGATAAATAAATTTGTCCCCTTGCCGGCAAAGCGGCGAAAAGAGACAGCCAGTGAAAGGGAGAGAGCGAGAGGCAGAAAATTTCGCAAATAACAAATATGACATTTAAATGCGACTACTAACGGGGGCGCAATTATCCAGATAGATAATGCCGCCTGCCCAGCCCCCTGGAATGATGTATGGATCGGAGCTAGATCCAATTATAACATTTAATTGTGGGTGTCTGCGGTAGTCTTTCCCGCTGTGATGAAATAACCATGAATTATTTCGCCAGTTTTTGGTGGGAACATTAAATAGTAATACGGAAGTGATTTCCTGGAATATTATCAAAGTTTAGATATGGCGGAATTGGCATTAGTGAATCTATACTAGAAAGCGTACATAAGTGGTTTTAATAATGATTCAATAATATTCTTTAATGTAATCAATAAATGTATTTATATCATTTTCAATTATGACTTGAGCTGATATTCTTAAATATGGACGTAATACTTTCACATGGAATTTCAATTGCTAAAGCTTAAAATTTATTCATATCTTAAATGTATATTTATTTTTAAAGTACGATTCCAGCTCATTAAGAAATACCCAAACACGATACGCACAATCAGAGAACGATTGAAGTTTCTGAAAATTGGCTTACGCATAAAAATAAACTTATCATTCATAAAATTTTATTGCCATTACTAAGCATTCGCTGTAATTTATTTAGACTTTACAAACAAGTGCGGAATTTTAATCTCGCTCAGGGTATTTTATTCGAGTCATTTCTTAATCTCTGTAAACAAGCTCCAAACCACACAAGCTCATTATGGGGAATCGAGGCTTGGGCTGGGTATGCATTTCCCCAATCCACGGACTTCTTTACGACAAACAAATGCCCGAAATAATGGACGTTAATTTCAAATGAACTCAAGTCGTAAAAGCGAATAAAAATGCCCTGTCTATGGGCGAATTCTTCGCTGGTTTTATGCTCAACTGGCTTTCCACCAAACACTTATGGAGTTGTACCAGGCTGTGCCTGTTTTTCCGGAGGGTTTTATCGGGCGAGTTTTCAGAAGCGGCATTACATTAAAGGAGTTGGGAAACGGAGGGTGGAATTATGCGGGCAGGGTTGTTATGAAGCTATAAAATACTTGGCATTATGGAAATGAGTACATGTCTAAATTAAAACGAGATACATAATTACAATGAGGAAAATGAAACCCTTCCAAATAAAAAGACCAGACGCTCTGTTTTTTAATATGTATATGTATATGCTAGGTATATATTGTGAGTACTTCAACTATAAGATCATAAAAATTAATTTCTTTTGAGTCCGATCATAAAAAAAAATAAAACCACTAAAATAATCAACTTAGAGGCAATTTTTACGACTATAGTTTAACTTGAATTGCTTGGGTTTTTCCTATGTAAGAAATGGCCTCGTTGCGGTTGATCTCTTTGCTTCTGCTGCTGATTGAGCGCATTTCAATGGCACTCGGATCCGAAGAAACCAGAAAACGAAACTCACACCCCAGAAAAAAGCCACCCAACCCCTCAAAACTCTGGTAAATGTCTCGCGCGGTTTGTTTGTTTTCACGTTCATTCATAAACCCGTAAAAAATTGGAAAACAAACAAAACCGCCACGGGAGAAAAAAATTCCAATAAAATTTTCATTAACACACAAAAAATGTAAGAAAGCCGAAATACCAAGAAATAGAAAACGCAACCGAAACGGGGAGATCCGTTTCGAAAAGCGACCATAAAACGTAACGAAGCATACCCAACAACACCCAACAACAACAATAACCATATCGACCGACAACAGTAACGATTCGAGATTCGAGGTTCGAGGCCTAGCCCAAAAACCCGTCGAACCCAATCGAAACGCAGCCGATCCAAAAGAAACCATTACAAGAGACACCTGCGAAAATGTTAAAATAATAATGAAATGCCAGTGCGCCCTACAAAAAATTAACTCCGATACGTGAGCATACAAACTAAACGGCTTTTTATTTCGGGGCATTCCACATTCCGTCCACTCGGTGGCGACACAAGGGGTTTTTGGGGGTTGGGGGGTTGGGGGGAGGGAGACGGTACCGAGACGGAAATTCCACGATCATGACGTACTCGTCGCGCCGATGACAGACTTTTATCGCCTCCAAAATGTTCGTAATCCCACATTAATAGTTTAACTCGTAGCTACCGATAAATGGACCGATAAATCGTAACTTTAAGCTTTAAAAGTAAGTTTCCATTTAAATTTAAGTAGTTATATTATACGATTTTACTTTAAATTCCGTTGACGAGGTTGATTTAAAGTTTTAAGTCATTTTTCTGTATAAATTATATTAAAGCATATTGTTTTTATTAACAGATAATACAAAGACTTTGATCGTCTACTTATAATTACAACATGAATAGTTTGTTTACTCAAAAAAAGTCGTGTATTGTTTTTTAATTTTCCTTATTCGGCATCCATAAAACATACGACAATCGTCGGATCATTGAGAATGTCAACAATAAATACGCGTATCGCAGTCAAAGCTCAGCCGATAACAACAATTGGAGCCAACCATATCGGGAATCTACAAAATGGAAAAAAAAAAGTCACAAGCCACGGCAAAAACAACGACGTCAGCTGATTAAAACCAAAAATACCGATCTCAGTGCGTGAGCCGTCAGTGGCGACCAATCGGAGATGGCCAGCGATAACAATAAAACAAAAAAAAACAATAACAATAGCAGTAAGGACTGTGATTTCCAGCATGTTATGTAAGCTATTAGTTTACCTTATTAGTAATAGAATTATTAAGTATTCTAGGCTCTATTATCTTCGAAAGATCAATGATCGCATTGTAACATTGAAATGCTAGCAAAGTCTATCATTCTTGCTCATTAAATATTCAAAAATATACTTCACACGTCAATCAGCCACAATCTTAATCCCCGCAAGTAGCCGCCACAGAATCTCGTGACTTTCACTAGCAGTTACGCCCCCAGACTTTGGTCATCAATCACATGGGCAGACCGGTAAAGTACCACCAGCCTTGTGACAATCCAATAAGCCGTCACGTTCGAATCAAAATACATTGTTTATTGCACATTTTCCGGACTGCCGCCCCATTCCGTTCGTTTGTTTTTATCGGAATACTCTGCACACGTCATCGTCATCGTATCAAAGGCGATGATTAGGGGCGATCCTTGACGTGATGTTGTTATTTTTACAGTTGCATTCCCGGCCCGATCGTCGATTGTTGAGTGTTAACTACCGCACTCACACACACACACACACGCGCACCCTCGCATCGCTGTCTGTGTTTGTTCAATGAATTATTATTCAGCCGATCGTCAGGCATTGAATTTCACAATAACAATAACAAGATAAGAGCAAACACTACTAGTGCAATTGTTCTACTAAATATAATGATACGAACAAAGTTCATACAAACAAATCAGCAGCTATATTTAGATTTCCAGGAACCCAATTAGGCACGATTGATCACTTAAAAGCATATCTCCTATCTCAATCAGGGTTAAGTATAAAAAAGCTTATTAAATAAAAATGGTTATCATTTACACATACCTTTATATTTTTGACACTTCCTTAACGGATTGTTATTTAAATTTCTCCACCGAAGATCTGAAACAAATGAAATAGATATTCGTTAGTTTGAATCAATTAAACATATAAATATAGTTCTAAATATTAATTGATATAAGGAGAAAACATTTACAAGGAAGTACCAAAAACAATAAACATTTCAAAATATTTCCTTGAAAGCTCCCCCTTTAATGTATTATCACATATAATGTAATACGTAACAGGGGTCTCACAGTTTTCTCACCGATCTAGCCGTCAGGTTGAACTGTTTGCTTTGCAAGTGCTGTTTGCAACAATATTGCACAATAATAAAAGTAGAGCTATATGAAAACTAACAGACGATCCCTTTCATTTCCCATTTACGATTCCTGTTTGCCTATAGCAAATATTGTTGTAGTACTATACGGAATGAGCAATTTATATGACATTTCCTGTTATGTTTGCTTCCCAGTTAACCCATTTATTTGGTTACTCATATATTTTTGTCCGAAAAGCTTACACTGAATTCCCAGAACTGCTACCACAAATACGGAAAATGGCAATAAAACTTGTTGATCACGGGAATGATCGAATACTCGAGTCCTCGTAATTCATTTTAGGGATATTGAAGTATTTGAAAATATGGTAAGATGAGTACGTTATCTGCTTAACCCAGCATATTTGTTAACATTATATCCTGGTTGTTATATATATAAAATATTTCTTATAACACCTTTTTACAACTCTCTCAGGTTCAGCAAAGCCCGAATATTGGTTTTCGCACGGCAAAGACTAAGCTGTCGCCTGGTACATTTGAAATCAGTATTCCTATCAGTACGTGCGAATGCCATGCACATGCAATGCGATATGTGCTATGCGCCAAATATCGATGTGTGTTCTATTTTTCAAACAGCTTGCCTTACAATCAATTGCAGCCTTTGTACTTTGACAGGGTCTTAATTCTGGCCGTAAACATGGCTAAAGACCGTATACTGTCTCGCCTATAATCTCTGTCAAGCATTCTTTGTTTACATAGTATTTTCATTGGAATTCGGCACATGTTGCGGTTGCTATTTGTTTCTATTTCGCCTACGCCTGGCGCAGCCTACTCATAAAAAGTATATTTTATTAGAAAGGCTACAAATACACAGAGTATTAAATAACAATCATCAAGTAGTTGGGTAATATTATATATTAAAATATATAATGCTTTAGTTTTAATCGATTTATTTCGAACTTCTTATCTGTTTACAAACACAAAACATTTTATATATATTTCATTCTTTCCCTTTTAGCGCTTCACACTCGACATTGATTAACTTTCATTTAAATCCGTTAATCACTTTAAACAAACGAATAGGAAAACCCGATTTGCCTTTCAATTGAAACGTGCGAAACATATCTCCTATTTCGGCATGTTGTGTAATAAAAGATTTCCGAAAATAATTAGATGATTAATTATAGAAGCGAATGTAGTTCCTGTTCAGAGAGCAAGTACCAAAAGGCCTTGAGTTGGGCGTACAACTATGCTAGTTCCGGTCAGATAATCCCCGTCGTCGGCGGATCCTTTTCAAGCTGGTCTTATTTCTGTTATTGACTTGCGGTTGTGCCCAAGTTGAAATCCGCTTTGGCTTATACAACATTTTTGTGGTTTTGTTGTTTATCAAAGTGTTAAAAACACAATGGTATACATTTCAACAGCAACGGTCAAATAAACAATACTTTTAGCATGTATAAGAAATTATGTTTAAAGGCACCACATTACTGCTTTTCAAATTTGTATTTATATAATAATATAATAAACGTTATATTTACTTTTCAACCACTCACGGATAATATACAAGATTTAAATAAGTCTTTACTAATTTATAAACCTATTATTTTTACCGCAGCTGCGTTTGGATACAAGTTTGTGCCTATGTGTGCGGTGTTATTACTGAATGGAAGGCAAGAAAAGCAACAACTGTCGATCCCATAGTACTTGCACTGCTTGCTCACCCAATCTCTGTCTCTCTCTTTCTGTCCCTTTCGCTCTCCGACTCTCATGCCGCGTATGTGTGAATGAATGCAGTGGCGTAAATAGCAGCAACAACAACTGCAAGTGCCAGCTACGTGAATTAAATGAATGAATTTTTAGCGCGCGCCTTTTTTCTCTGTGTGTAATGGCATTTTCAAGTGTCCGCGGACGCCCGTTACTCGTTTGAGTGTGTGTGGAATGCAAGTGAGTAAACAACAATAATTGTCAGCGGCAATAACAGAAATAACATTTCAAATAAATTCCGATTTGATAAGCTTTCCTCTCTAATCTAGACAGGGGATTTTCCCCTTTCGCGCCTTCTTTGCTTTTAGTCGTTTGTTGGTTAACCGTTTGTTTGCTTACTTTTATTATTTATGATACGTTCCGGTGCCCATTGCCCAATTATTTTGATGGAATGCATTACACAAAGTATTTCTCTGTGTTCACGTAACAGTGTGTGTGCTTGTTTGATTTGGCGTTTTTAAGTTATCAATGAATTTCACACACACACGAAATGCGGCCGTGAGTAGAGTAAATTTGTAAACGTACTTATTGGATTCGGTTTCATTCATAGCCAAAGACACAAATTTTCCCCACGTTTGCCCAGAAATCCGAATTAGTAAATTACGTACAGTCAAACATGCTTAGCAGGAATTTAGCTGTACTTATTACTACTCAAGAAATGTGTGTGCAAAATATGAAACGATATTAAATGTCTGAATAAACTTATCAAAAATGTTACTTGTATATGTCGCCCAATTCATTAATCAAACAAAACAATGTTTTAAAATAATTATCATATTTTTTATACATTCTTCTTATTTTGTTATTATGTTATAAATTAATTAGAATAAAACAAATATGTATTTTATAAATAATTTAAGAAATTTACATAGTTCCAAGTTGAAACATTTAGGGAAATTTTCCTATATTTACCTATTGACTGACGGGTGAGTACGGGCTATATTTGTAAAGGTTATCAGTTGGCTTATCGCTCCCCGCTCCCTGCACAAATGCTCCCATTCTTTTGCTGAATGAACATTCCCCTTTTTGGAACAATAATAACTTCTGCCCCCATCTGCCAGCCCATTCATTTATTTCCATCTGTCGGGAGGTCTTCCAATATCTTTCGCTCTGAATCAGAACTTTGACGGGCCAGTCACAAGTCAAGCTAATTAATAACAAGCTGTAGTCCGAGAAGAGATTTCCCCATCCCTCGCCAAATTTGTGTTCTTACATGTTATCAGTAGGATTCTCGCTCGTGCGCCCATCATCTTATTTTTTTGTGCTCTACACGCTTGTCAATTTTGACATTTGCTATTGAGGCGTTCATAAAATAGGCGCCAGACTGATTTTTGCTTGGGTTTTCTATGCGCCTCGCGTCGCTTTTGCTTTTTCTCTGGCTTTGTTTTGTTTTCTTGTTATGATTTATTAAACATTTATTTGGCTTAATGAATTAATTTGATTTGATTTCGACAGCGTAACGGAAACGCCTGCAAATGTGTGTGTGGGTCGTTGTCTGTGTGGGGCGCCAAAAAGGCGCGATGCACGACGCAATTGTCTGAGCTTGGGGGAAAAGTGCATGACAAAACAAAAGAGAGGGAAAACAAACGGAAAACCCAAAACGACAAAGACATGTTCGTGAAATACAGGGCTACTTCAATAAGGTGTTACAGTTCTTAAACATATTAATTTCTATTTCAAAAAGATTAAAAATGTGTCAATGCCATTAAACTGTCTATGCAAATGGACATGATTTAAAATGTATAAATAATAAAATACTATGTTTTCTTCAATTGTTATAGGCTGTAAAACGTTTTATATAAGAGCCACTGTATTACAGCAACCTAGGAAAACGCAGCAAGGCCTCCTTGAGCATAAAATAGAACGCAATATATTTTTACAAGCGTCTGAAAAAAAAAACAACACAACAACAAAAAGGCAGCCAAGTTAAAATAGTTGTTTAGCTATTAAGTTCCGCTTAAATTGTTTTCACATTTACCTTATGCCCGTGCGCCAATGCTACAAACATAGATAGAGATACAAGTACATACAAACGAAAGCGCCAGCGGCAAGAACAACGAAAAAACAACAACAACAACAACCAGTGGAATGGGAAGAACAACAAAAGCAAAGTGCGAGGCACAAAAGAACCTAATCAAGAGCAAAACGCCGCAAATAAAGCAATAAACAAGACACAATATTGTTTTTTTTCCAGTTCTCTCTCCTCGTTTATGTCTCGCTCATGGCAACAACAAAACGAATAATAATGCAAACAACAGTGAAACGAGAGCGGTTTTGAAATAGCTTCCCAAACAGTGCCAGTTTCCATCCCAGACTCTCGCAGCTGAAGTCTACAAATCTAGATTTCAAAGCTCCAGTTCCAAGCAAAGACAACAAGAACTAAAGATACAAGAGCAACTACTCTAGCGACCAAACAAACAACAAAAACTCGTCGATTTCGGAAGAGGCAGACAGACAGACGCATTTAAATATGAACACAGGCCCCCAAAAAACAGAATACAAAAACTTTATATCCTGAAAACGTAGTTAAATTGAAATTAGTAAATGTCATTGCCCAAAATGGAGTTTTTTCGCGAACTCGCATTTACAAGCTGTAATTCGAAAATAGCATTAAAATTGTTTAAATTGTTGAAAACTAGAAAATTACATTACAAGTATGTATACATAGATGTTCCTTTGGAATAAAATTTCTTAGAAACTAAATGTTTATAGCTGAAAACTGTTTCTGCGAAACTGTGTCAATTGTTAAATATTTATGACTAGCAAAATTGTTTGTCATGCTTTCTAAGAAAACTATAAGATAATCAATTTTGCATTTGTCTTAGATCTGCATTATAAAAGAAGTCAGGTTCTAAAAGTTAAGCTTCGTTGAAGATTTATTTAAAGCCGTACTCTTCCTTTTTTTTCTAACTGATACTTTCAGAAGACTGAGATGAATAAGTATATACACTCTCAACTGTTCTCTTTCCTTGAGAGATCAGCTCTAAATGTAGATTTCTTGATTATTTTGCGCGCTGGA